CAAATCACAATGACGTGCAGCACAAGCTTTGTGATTGGTCTGCTTGGTAGCTGTGACGAATGAGGGCAGTGCAGAGAGTTGTGAGCCAGTTGGAGCAAGTGTTTACAAGCGTGTTTACCTTATGATTAAAGTTGTTGCATGTCCACTATTCTGAATAAGAGTTCCCACATTCTAAAAAGTCTTCTTTAAGGTAGCGTTCAGAAAAAACAAAACACCTGCGAAGAAACTCGACACAGAGGAATATAAAAACCTACTGCCAGCTAGCATTATGGTAGTGTTATTGCAGAGCAACACAAAGAGCAGGCTGAAGTATAAATGCACGACTGCACGCAAGGCATGAGCTGTGTGTCACGGCGATCACTCAACGCAGAAGTATAAACCAGCCATAAGAATCTTTATTGATGACTGAGTATTCATAATAATTGTTCATTATATAACAGAAAATTAGCATATTATTAGTATGACTTGACACTGCAAACTGCTTTGAATCACAGAAATAATATACAGTTGTCAGAATTATAGTCAGAATTATAAGCCCCTTTAAATTTTTTTTCTTTTTAAAATATTTCCTAAATGATGTTTAACAGAGCAAAGAAATTTTGACAGTATGTCTGATAATATTTTTTTATTCTGGACAAAGTCTTATTTGTTTTATTTTGACTAGAATGAAAGCAGTTTTACATTTTTTAAAAACCATTTTAAGGAAAACATTATTAGCCCCTTTTTAGCAATTCTTTTTTCAAAGCAAACATCGTTATACAAAAACTTGCCTAATTAACCTGCCTAGTTTACCTAATTAGCCTAGTTAAGCATTTAAATGTCACTTTAAGGTGTATAGAAAAGTCTTAAAAATATCTAGTAAAGTATTATTTACTGTCATGATGGCAAATATAAAACAAATCAGTTATTAGAAATGAGTTAATAAAACTATTATGTTGAAATAATGTGTTGAAAAAAAATCTCTCCATTAAACAGAAATTGGAGAAAAAAAATAAACAGGGGGGCTAATAATTATGACTTGAACTGTATGCATAAATGTAGCAGCATATACATATATATTTATGTAAAAAACTTCACAATATTCCCTTTTTTACTGTATTTTTGATCAAATATCTGCCGCATTAATAAGCAGAAGATTTTTTTTTTTTTCAAAATAATAAAATGTCGTGATACCAAACTTTTGATCAATAGTCTATATGGAAAGACTTTAGCCCCCGTCAGATCTGAAGCATGACTAGTGAACCTGCTGATCTAGAGCCTGTTCCACTTCTCCACGCGACTGAACTTGGAGCCAGAAAAACCGATCCTGTATCCGCTTTTGGAAAGAACTGTCCCGTCCTGCATGGCGTGCTGATCTGAGCTCTTGAACAGCTGGTCCAGGGTCGGCTTTAGAGGGGCCGCCGTGACCCTGGGAGCTAATTAAAGCAGATAAGAGCATTAATGAGCTCCAGGCTGATCAAAGGGCCGCAGCTTGGCCTGGGTGGTGGGAGATGTTGGAGAGATTGGAGGGGAGCTCTGTTTACCCCTGTCAGGGTCAGTAATTGGGAAGGGAGGTGCACAAGCTGTTCCTTTTGTGTGAGCCGAATACCTTTACTGTGACTGTGAGTGGCCCACACCAATAGCTTTACACACTGCTTGCATTCCATTCTCTGGTCAAATGGTGTGTCCAGTCAGGGAGTGATGACCCTTTCCAGACCATTCCCTCATTTACAGTTATTTTTGTTTTTTGTTTTTACAAGCTATGCTAATTACAAGTTAGCATAACTCAAAGTTTTGTCTCAGTTACATTCAGTTCATGTTTATTTAATTTATTAAAAGTTCATGTTTATTTGTTTATGTAAAAATAGCATAAAATTTAGGAAGTGTTCTATTAATAACCTAAGATAAGTGTATCATCGTAATGCCTATATGTCAGTAACAATTAGGGGTAATATAACAATATAAGGAAATATTTTTAAATGTTGCCATGATCTTATGACCCATTTCGGATCAGTACGGGTCACCGTTATCAGGCTTGCGTTTCCACTACCAAGGGTACCCTTTTGGTGGGCATGGTGTACGACAGAAAGTTTCAGTCGACTTCATTCTCGCTCGAATAAATGTCTACAGTAAAGCCTGCTGGGTCACTCACATATCAAATGAGAAGCACTTCTCACAAAACAGATGCTTTATCCATATAAATGCTTGTGTATAAATGCTCATTACTAACTTTTCTACAAACATAATTTGATTATAACTGCAGATCAATGACAGAGTGAAACAGCCTACTGTAACGTCTGCAATTATATAATAAATAAATAAATAAATAAATGCAGCATATATGAACACATACAGACCCTTACAGTCTCTGATTATTATTATATAATAATGTTATCAAGTACAGAAAAAAAACTACACACAGCATACATTTAGTCCTTAACTGAGTTAAAAAACAACACGCAACATATAGTCCGCAGTCAGAGCAAACCTCTCATCTGTGTCTGTAATCTTCACCAGCACATGTAAACTCTGTTAGAAAGTTATTCTGTCATTCCGAGTTCATAATAGTCCAAAAGGCGATAATAAACATGGCAGTTTGTTCATGATTCAGGTTGCTGAAAAAGTTTGCCCCAGTGTTTTTTCGCGCTTCACTCTCTTGTTTGTCCTTTTCTTTTCTAAAAGGATCAGATGTTAAAGACAATTCAATAATCACACACAAGTTATTGTCATCAGCTCAAGAATATTTATTATATCAAATATAGACGCGATCGCGAAAACTGCTCGCACTTTTAGACGGCCTCGTAAAACAACAACAAGACAGCAGGTTTTGTTCTTCTTGGCTTTGTGACTTTACATCTAGACAACGACAAGGTTTGTTTGAGCTTGCGTCATCCATGGCTTGTTATTATATGCATATAGTATTACGATGTAATGTCTCGACAGCATATTTAAAACATGGCGGTTCCTTTGTTTTCATTCTGGCTAGCTCCACAAGCTCATGACGTATCTTTGTAACCGTTCAGCTGCGTGTGTAGCCTCACCTTTTGTTACCCTTTCTCGTGTTTGGTACCCTTTTGAAAGGGTGCCGAAAAAGTGGTATGGTACAGTACCACTCAGTGGAAATGGGCAATTAAAGAATAGTTAATCTGAAAAACAAAATCCTGTCATCATATACTAATTTATTTTAACCTCCAATTGTTACAAATTTGAACTCTAACAAATTGCTGGGTTGTTTTATCCCAAGATTGGTTCAAATATAGACAAACCCAACCTTTGAGTAAAAAAAAAAAATGTTTAAATTTAATTTAAATTTAATTGAATTCCAGTACTGAGTTGCATCTGTTGTGTAAAACATATGCTGGTTAAGTTGGCGGTTCATTCTGCTGTGGTAACCCCTGATTAATAAAGGGACTAAGCTAAAGGAAAATGAGTGAATGAATGAATATTTTGACATATTTGACCCAATTTAGGGTTAAAATGTCCCAGCATTTTTAGAGTGTGTTTCAGTTTGTTTCTCCTTATTGTGAATGATTCTGTAGACAGCCATTTACTTCTATAGTTTTACTAAAGTATGCTATTGATGTCAATGCCTACGGTGGTCTCAAACATTTTTCAAAATATCTTTTGTGTTCAACAAAAGAAAGGTTTGAAACCACTTGATGGTAAAGTAAATGGTGAGAGGCTAAGCCAAACAGAAAATGAATGAATGAATTATTACATCCATGCAAATATACCCCCCCCCACTCCCAAAATTCAGCGAGATTTATATAAAAAACTAAACAGTTTAATTATTACTTTTAGTTGGTTTTAAGAAAACAAATAATTAAAAATGTACAGATTGCATTAAGATACAAATGTAGAAGAATGAATGATGTAATAAAAAGAGAGCAAAATAAAATAAATGAATAAAAATGCAATGGGTGCATATTAGGGTTGCTGGGTAACTACTTAGCGTCTTCGAGATTATTGTCAAATCGTGCAAAGACTAGATCCAAACTGAAGCTGGTACAATCTGTAGTTGCCACTGCTTGGGTGCTTTTGCTTTTTTGTCGTTTTAAAAAAGGTTTGCATACAGTAGAAAATTCTGTGCCCATTCAGTTTACACAGATTCATAAAACAACAAAAAAAACTCTAATAGCTGAGGATTTCAGTACGTGTAATGCTAATAATGTTTTCAAACCATGTTCTTTAAAAGGTATTTTTGCAAAGTTAGCATGTTCAAACTATCAACACCATTGTCCTGTAAAGCCCAAAATATGCTTAATTTTTTCATACATTTGACATACTAGTGCATAAAAAGACAAATACAGATATAATACACAATATAGAAACAAAATGGTGGATATAGTCGGTCTAAATTCCACTCATACAACACATTCATATTACACTCTAAAAAAAAATTCCGTAAAAAAACGGTAAAATGTACTGGCAGCTCATTACACAAATATTTTACCGTAAATTAAAAACGGAAAACTTCTGTTAATTAACAGTGTGTCAACATTAAAAAAACTAAAATATATCCGTTTTTTGACAGTTAAACTACTGTAAAATAACCAACCATTTTATAGTAATTTAAGGGTTTTCTATATAAAAAAACGGTTATTTTCTGTGTTTTTAAGGGTATACCAACAGTAAAAAAGCGGAAATATTCTGTGTTTTAATAGTATACCTTCTGTAAAAAAACAGACAGATTCTGTGTTTTAATAGTATACATTCTGTAAAAAAACAGACAGATTATGTATTTTAATAGTATACCTACTGTAAAAAGAGGAGTTTTTTTGGGTTTTAATAGTATACCTACAGTGAAAAAATGAACAGATTCTTTGTTTTAATGGGATACCTACTGTAAAAAATAATTATTTTACTAATTTAATGCTCTTCAAGCAGCATAGAAATGGCAATTGGTAAGGACAAACATATACATATGGGAAATACACTATTAATGGTTTACAATAGTAAAACAAAACATTTATTCTGTACTGTATGTGTAGAGAAGCAGTAAATAGTTTGTTATCTGTGAACTTGCAATGATTAGTACAAAAACAACTTTGCAATTAAAACAGATTCTTTAATGAATACAAATCATTTGAATTCCAAATAGCTAGTTATACACACAATAATACATATTGACATGTGAATCGCACCGTGAGAAGTCTTGGCAAATAATCTCATAGCAAATTAGTTTTAAATGTTAGCTTTAAGATAATTAAGGGCAAGTGGGCAAATTACAAGTACTTTACATTAAGAAACCAGGTTAACTGCAAGATGGCAGGAAACAGACGATACAACTGGGTCTTCTTCCTCTCCAATACTGATACTTCAATGGCTGTAAAACAAACAAACAAAAAAAAAATATTACTAATGACTTTTCACTTACAACTGGGGTGATTCCTTGCATGTCAATAGTTCTGTTAATCATTGCCTCTACATTAATAGATGTTAGTAGTCGGTTTTAAATACAGCTACAAATGCTGTAATCTTGACTTAAGCACATTTATAATGTGCTTAATAATTGTGTTAACAAACTTTAATGATTGATTTTACATGACTATTTTTATAATAAAAAAAATATATATATATTATATTGCATTATTTACAAAACTTCTCCCAGTTTGGTGGCCTAATCTAAAGTGAGGATTATTTATGATTTATAAATCCTTATAAACGACAGTTAAAGGCTCAGTATTAAATTAACAATAAATCATTACAGTCTTATCTAAAAAATGTAATTGCTGTAAATATGAAACCTTGCTGAATAGCAGGAGTGCCAAAACATAAGATAAAACTGGATAAAACAACAATAAAATAATTTAATGATACATTACGATGCAACATTTCAGTGTTATTTAGCTAGGTTTAAACTGTACAGTAATTTTATTTTAGATAAGATTTATTTTTCATTTAATACAATAAAATGAATTTCATTCTTAGAATATAACTGAACCTTTAATTGTGATTTATAAGGGGATTTACAAAGCATAAACAATCCTCACTTTAGGCTACAAAACTAGATGAAGTTAACAAAAGCACTTATTAAAATAAGTATTGTATATACTTTATATACTTATTTTTTATACTTTATATACAAGTATAACTATTACTATTCATTCATGCATTTTCCTTCAGCTTAGTGTGTGCTCGCACTATGTACAGTTGCCTTGAACCAGGCCGAAGCACGCTTGTCCTCTCTACCGTCTCCCCTGACGTCCCGCACTCACATTGCATTCGAGCCTGAGCACTCTTACATCATCGATGATGCCCCGTTTAGTTTAAAAAGTGCTCTCTCTCAGCACAGTGGAGAATTCTTAAATTATTTTGTTTTAGTCGTTTGGGATGCAGTAACACGCAGTCAAATATTTTGCCGAACAGATCAGCCACTTTTGATGTTCATAAATTCCTTGTGCTGCAGGAATAGGAGGTTTGCTAAAGGGCGCAGCTGTGGTGCAGTAAAGGGTTTGCGTCTTTAATAATTAACGACAGTTTGCGTTCATTGAACAGTAATAGTGGTTAATTTATCCAAATCAAACCGTCCCTTGCAAACTGTCACAAAAGACACAAACCCCTCACTGCACAACAGCTGCACCTTTAGCAAACCTCCTAGTACCTGCAGCACGATGACTTTGATTGTTTATGAGCGTCAAAAGTAGCTGATCTGTTCGGCGAAATATTTGACTGCGTGTCACCGCATTTTAAACAACTAAAACAATATAACAATATAAAGAAATCTCCACTGTGCTGAGTGAGAGCACTTGTTAAACTGAACAGCACATTATCGATGACGTAAGCGTCAGGGAGACAAGCACGCATCCAGTTTCAAGGTAACTCTGCATAGCATGAGTACGCCCTTGGAAACACCCATACACACTTATTTACAAACACACTCATACACTACAGCCAATTTAGTTAATCAATTTCCCTATAGCGCATGTCTTTGGACTGTCGGGAAAACCTGAGCACCCGGAGGAAACCCTCGGCAACACAGGGAAAACATGCAAACTCCATACAGAATTACCAACTGAGACTTGAACCAGAGACCTTCTTGCTGTGAGGCGACAGTGCTAGCCCCTGTGCTGCCCAACTATTACTATATGCCTGAATAATAAGATATTTAAATGTTAGTTTGAATAGTTTATTAACCATTTACTTAAACATTCTGAATGATTAGAAAAAAAATACACCATTAGAAAAAAAAATTCACTATTCTTAAATCACTGGTTTGTAAATAATGCGATACTAAATTTAGAATGAAAAATTGATCATTAACAAAATATGAAAACAAAATAATTCAGCACATTATAGATGTGCTTATAAGTCAAAATTACAGCATTTGCAGCTGTAGTTATAAACTGTATACTAAGGTCTATTAATGTAGAGTCAATGCTTAACAGAACTTTTTGCTAATGCTTAATAAATTAATCAATAGTGTTTAGTTATTATAAAGTGTTATCGGTGTGCTTAATTACCTTTAAATCTTCCAAGGATTCTGAAAGTCTTTCTGGTCTGACAGGAATCGAAGGAGTTTAGATGGTATGTTTCTGCTTGGTGCCCTTTTTTCTGCTTTGGACCTACTTTCTGGATAGTTACTCAGCATGCTCCTGTTGTAAATACAACAAACATGTATCACCTTACTTATCTTGTAAAAATGAAATAAACTTAAAAATGTAAAAACATACCTTCATATAAACTACAGAGTCAGGGCTGCTTCCTTAGGCTACATAATGTTTAGCACATAAGAGACTAAACATGTAGCTGACCACAATTAGGGGACAGCTCAATGATCTTGTTATTGTGGCTGTGGACTCTTCTTCTGAAAAAAAGAAAAGAAAAGTGAGTTGTGAGTTGGGTCTGGTACACGCCTACATGGAAAGAACCTATATAAACATATGGTTTAATATAGGTTTTTGATATATGTGACACATATAAAATTGGCTGTTTTCCTATATTATATGTACATATATGGGTACATATATGCACACCTATATGTTAAATTATTAATATTATTAATAATATTATAAATAATATAATTATTATGTAAAATTATTCAAATACATGTCTGCTACATAATTTAAAAGAAATTTTTTTAAAATTATTTACTTAATCAAATATTACAAGAAATAAATATAGTGCAGAAACAAAAATAAGGCAAAAAACAACAATAAAGGAAAGAAAACAAAATAAAAAGAACAACAAACCATTTTGTTATACTTTTTCTTCTTTTCCACTATCTTTATGCAAGAAAGAATTGACCTTGCAAATGTTTCAGGAAAACGTGTAGACATCATAGCTTTCCATCTCCTCTCACTTATTTGCCATAGTTAAATTCCATAACATGCCAATTACATGTGATACCAAATTCAAGTGGCACATTCATAAGTTTTTTGCATTTTTAAAAATGAGTTCTTTTCCAGATAGCAGACCTAAGTTAAATTAACATTGAAATGTTAAAACATCAATCAAACTATCATTGAAACAATGTTAAAAGTCATCACTGATTTTTAGGCAGTTTTCCACCCTGAAATAATGTTAATTCTATGATGATAAATAGACAAAACTGTCCCAAAACCAGCATTTATTCAACCAAAATTAAATCATTTTTTACAATGAACCCAACATTAAATAAAATGTTAAATCAACCACACTATCATACAATTAATGTTAAAATTTAAAGTAGATTTTTAGCCAGTTTTGCATCCTGAAAAAAATTTATTACAATCACGATAAATAGATTAAACAGTCACAAAATCAGCATGAAGGCCTGGCTCACCATCAAGATGCCTACATTGATAATGTCTTTCTCATCATCAGGTGGCTAAGAGAGAAAAGAAAAGAGATTCAGCAGTGGACCAGTTATTTCCTTATCATTTTAAACAGACATAACCAAAATAAAGAACTTGTAACATTTTAAATGTTGTAAAAATAAATAATAATAATAAATAACTGCTTTGTTCATTTAACAGATTACAGTTGCAGCTTAAAAACCCCCAGATAAAACACCCACATCAACCCAGTACTTTTAGTTTGAATACATGTTAACAAAATTTCAAAATTACTGAAGCAAAATGTGTTCATGTAAACACTTAGTAAAAATATAGGTACAGGTAATTGGTTTTGCCAAATAATAAAAATAAAAGCACTAATATCAAACAAAAACCCTGACCATTTTACCTCTTAAACTTTGCAGTTTACTGTCATCCCCTGTATGAAGTACAGATGGTCCAGCACAACTGCCTGAGTTCTGAAAGAGAAAACACATATTTTTTTGTATTATTTATAAAAATGCAGTACTGACCAGTCAGCATCAATTTCTACACCAACACACCTACAACAAAAATAACACTCATTCAGTTTGAAACATGCAACTTGTAGTCTACTGTTATACTTTACAAACTTTGTGAATAATAAAAAAATGAAAACATTTAAAACCCCAGGTGTATTTTATTTAATTTGTCTATATGAATTGAAATTTAGTTTGGATTGAACGTAAGATTTAAGATTTTTATTTAGATTGCTGTGAAAATGTACCTGTACCTTGTACTTATAACCAAAATGACAGAACCTGGAAGTGAATAAAGCAAAATATCAGTGAACCTTATATATACACAAAACACTCAAAATCAAACAGAAAAAACGCTGAACATTTTACCTCTTAAACTTCAAAGTTTACCGTCATCTCCTGTATAAGGTACAGAAGGTCCAGCACAACTGCCTGAGTTCTGAAAGAGCAAACACATTCTTGGTAAAATTACAATAGATGCAATGCTAAATATAAATCATTGTTTATTTTTTTGGTTAAAAAATGCAGTACTGACCAGTCAGCATCAATTTTTACACCAACACACCTACAACAAAAATAACACTCATTCAGTTTGAAACATGCAGCATATAGTCTACTTTTAAATTTTACAAACTTTGTAAATAAAAATATGAAAACATTTAAAATCCCAGGTGTATTTTATTTAATCTGTCCATATTAATTCAAATTCAGTTTGGATTGAATTTAAGATTTTAATTTAGATTGCTGTGAAAATGTACATGTACCTTGTACTTATAACCAAAATGACAGCATAAACATACAGCAAATCTTATATCCTATATCAGTGAACCTTATATCTACAAAACACTCAAAATCAAACAGAAAAACCCTGAACATTTTACCTCTTAAACTTGAAAGTTTACTGTCATCTCCTGTATAAAGTACAGAAGGTCCTTTAGGCAACGCTAAATATAAATCATTATTTTTATGGTTAAAAATGCAGTACTAACCAGTCAGCATCAATTTTTACACCAACACACCTACAACAAAAATAACACATTCAGTTTGAGACAGTATACATTTAAACTTCACAAACGTCGTGAATAATAAAAAAATGAAAACATTTAAAATCCCATGTGTATTTTATTTCATTTGTCCATATCAATTCAAATTCAGTTTGGATTGAATCTAAGAATTTACCTGTACCATGTACTTATAACCAAAATGAAAGAACCTGGAAGTCAACAAAACAAAATATCAGTGAACATTATATGTGCAAAACACTCAGACTCAAAATCTACATAAAAAGATTTCACTTGTGATAACACCATGTGTAGTTGACTCTATTATCAAGGCTTCATTAAAATAAAACTCCTGATCTCCTAATAGTAATGAAATTATTATTTGCTATAATGATTCTAACTGACAGTTAGTCTGAAGAATTTTAAGACTTTTGAAGAACAGCTCATCTTTATATCTTCATAATAGCAGCTGTTGAGGTTCTTAAAAGTGAACTTGGCTAAATCTGCAAGTTGACAAGACGTTCATAAGTATAATATCCATGACAGTTCAACTCGACTACAACAAACATTTAATTGTGTGCTTTAAGGTACACGTTGTATTTGAGGCCTAAAACGCATGACAGTGTAAACACTATATAAAATTTTAAATGTCACACACTTACTGTATCACTCTGTTATCTCTGTACACACAAACACACGTCGCGAAATGCGGAAGCTTTTTTTTCGTTCCATTTGGCGAGCGTTATTAAATTCCATAACACTCTCATCAGTTCTTGCTTCTTATTTGCGTCTAATACCCCAGTTTGTCACGCGGGATGAATGAATGTTCATGAGTTAAAGTGAAACTGCCGAACTGCAGTTAAAGTCAGGCATCCTGCTGATTTGATTCAGAGGGGCACTTGTTTGTCAGACGGCTCACCGGTCAGGTATACATCCGCGCTAAACTACCAAAGTATGAAAGTCACCCAGCTCCAAACCCAACGTTGAGAATAGATTAACGGCGATATATTTTTTTTATCGCGCGATAAAAGTCTCGCGTTAACGCAGCACGTTAATGCTGATAAGGGCCCACCAATAATAATAACTTTATGAGTGTGTATTTCCCCTCATACCGATTTACACAATGCCTCAAATTCACGCGGGTCTAACTTATACTTAAAAACCAGCAAAGCTGTTCCACTGAATCTCGGTCACACAGCCTTGATACGTCGGTCAAACCAAAGCTAACATTTGATAACGTCAGTAAAAATATGAAATTAGTTATTAATATGCAAACAAACACAGACGGTCAGGTGTTACGAGCGTTTAAAACACGTTAACGTTAGGGTTCATTAAAGGTAACGTTAACCAGTCATCGATATACACCTTCAGCACTATATATCAACCAAACTACACAGTGTCACAAACTTTGAATGCTATCCCTTGTTCAATGCACTGTACAAAGAAAACATTTATATTTCTATTAAATAATTAACATACCTTTTACACTCTCACAGACAAGCTGACGTTTTACCGTTAATCCAGTCAGACTCACGCAGGTGCAGAGGGAGTGAGTGGGTGATTGGGACGTCACATCAGTTCCCGCGCACGGCAGTTTAGAAAAATACGGACAAACAACTGTAAATGAACAGATATCATATTTACTGATGAGGAAAACGCATAAAAAGGTAAAAATTCATTAGATAAATGCTTGTTTAAATTACATTTAACCACTCATAGCTCAGTTTGATCTTAATGATATAAAGTCTGATCTTATTAACAATATTAAACGTAATTCACTGCTTTACTTTCCATGGCCGCTTCAGACAAGACAAAAATAATTTTAAATAACGATACAAATGTAATAAAGCAGTATTTTAACTAAAATATTGTTATATGTTTTATTAATCGTACTTACCAGGGAAAAAACAGAGGAAGAAATATGGCCCGGTGTCCATCAAACGCTGCCTGAGCTGCGATCCCCTTCCCATAATGCAATTCGAAAATGTATATAAACGGAAAAACACCCGTAATACGTGTATACGGAAAAAATCCGTTAAAATATACAGTCATTTAACTGTTATTTTACAGATTTTTTTTACAGTGTATATATAGGATACACATTTTTACCAGAGTGAATAAACAGTATCAGATTGGCAGTAATTTTGAAAGTCCGACTAGTAAAAGTGTTTATATCTTGCACCATGTGACCACTGTTTGACCTGACTGCTGCAGATTCAGTTTCCAGTGTTACAACAACTTTCAGTGTGTGAATATGAACAGCTTTATGAGCAATCATGTTGCCATTTCGACATTGCTTAATAATAATAATAATAATAATAATAATAATAAACTTTATTTTTATAAAGCGCCTTTAAAAGTAGCATCTCAAGGCGCTATGTAATGCAGTAAAAGTAAAATTGAAAAATTAAAAACACTAATTAAAATAATAGATCTAAAAATCATATCAAAGTCCAATAAAATCAAATAAAAGCTACTCTAAAAAAGTAAGTTTAAAGAGATGATTAAAAAATATTCAATAATTCTGAATTGTAAATATACAGTTCTACGATTTAGGGGCCAATGAAGAGAATACCCATTCTCCCATAGATTTTAGCCGCATTGTAGGAAATTTTTTTGACACTCACACTACTTCACTTGCCCTTGTGCAGAAGTTGTGTGGGCTGATAAATGTGTGCTAGCGCTGAGCTGGTGGTCAGCAAGCGCATGTGTGTGTCGTGGAGGGGTGTGGTGGAAAGGAAGGCCACCTGTATTCACTGCAGGGTGTGGGAATGTCCGACTCAGCCTGACCTTACCGCATCCCCTGCTGCTGGAGGAAAAACTCGTTATCTGAGAAATCCCTGCTAATTACGCCTGCTGCTTACGAACATGCGCACACACATAGACAAAATGACACAAGACACAGTCACCAGAGTTGTTCTGAACGAATCTGCCTGCAGATGGATGCGTTTGTCTGCAGCTGCAGCAGTATTTCAATTCAGTGCTTCCTTTAAAAAGAAGTTGGTATTGTGTTAAGTGAGAGAATGATATTAAAATGGCTCTCGCTCTCTCTTTCAGTCTCTCTGTGATGAAGGCTGTGAGCCAGCCCGTCTCTCAGTGGGACCGGGACGAACACGGGCCTTCATTAGCACTCCCTAATTAGGAACAGATGCAATTTACAGCACGGGGCCCACACCAAGCAGCACTCCTCCCTCCATGCTTTCTGCTTCCTCTTTCCTTTCTGTCTGCTTAAAGCAAATTATTTTCTGTCTCTTTTACTAGATTCAGAGTTGTTCAGACGTTTAGGATGATTTCGATAAGTTATGCTTGGATTTCGCTCGCTTTGCTTATTCCGCCTGTGTGTTCTCCTCATCTTATACCCGAACAGATTCCCTCGCCTCGCACTTGCATATTCACAGAGCCACATGTGTAATTAAGGACACTTCCAACTCCATTACACCATGCTGGTCCAGTGCCACCCTCCCCGATCGCCCTCTGTTTCTCTGTCTGTCTCACATACCCATTCGCTCCATCCTAAAGCCAGAAGCGGCTTTTTATTTATAATGAATAGTTTCATTCTCTGAGGACCGGAGCTAGAAACGAAATGGACCTCAGATTTTGCACCAAATCTTAGCCTGACTCAGCTGTCTCTTAAAAAAAGCAGTGTGTGCGTTTGTAATGAGTGCCTCCGCAGACATCCCTGTGGGAATTTAAAGGAAATTGCAAGGAATTTTTATCTGGGTATTTAAAAACAGCATGCATGCTGTTTAAGACAAGTCAGGAATGTCTACTGGATTCGCTAATTACACTTTCAATATCACTTATCACAGTTTCTCCTAACTTTTTTTGGGGTATTATGTTCCCTTACGGCACCATCAGTCCTAAAGCGCATTCATTGACACCAAACAGGAAATGCTTGGCTTTTAATGTATATTTCCTTCAGAATTTGCATTAACAACACAAACATGGGAATCAGATGAATCAAAATTCACTTACATGTTAATAGTAATAAGTCATAAGTTGTTTAATATAAGGTTAGATTTAGGTTGTGACGCCATATGACCAAAATTCAATGTTTAGCCTGTGTCTATGAAAAACGTTGTTTTGATGTCCGATAATGACGTCAAATGATGTTGATATTAGGTTGATTTTAGGTTGCGTTGTAAAGTGACCAAAGTCCAACATCGAGCCAACATCTTAAACCAACGTCATATTGACGTCATATACTGACATTTATTCATCAGGTATGCCAACCAAATTCCAACATCTGATAGACGTCACAGGGTCCACACAACATCAAACTGTAACATTGTTAGACATTGATATTTGGTTGATTTTAGGTTGTGTTGTATAGTGACCAAAATCCAACGTTGAGCCAACATCTTAAACCAACTTCATATTTGACATTTATTTGTCAGGTATGGAAACCAAAATCCAACATCAAATAGACGTCATAGTGGTAACATCCACACATCGTCAAACTATAACATCATTAGACGTTGATATTTGGTTGATTTTAGGTTGGACATTGTACATACGACATTCTGACATAAACCCGATTTTCCAAATAAAATGCAACGTCCCCATAATGTTGTGGTACAACTTCAATCTGACATCATGTTGACGTCCCTTGTCTGCTGGGAACATGCTGGTTTAAATACTGACATACACAACTATTCGATACTGACAAACACAACCATTGGTAAAAACATTTAAAAACAATGTTTGTCCATTTTTGACCCAGATTTGCATGACCCAGAAACAACCCATAGAGCATATAGCAAAAATAAATGCTTTGGGGAAACGGACCAATCAAACAGTTTCCCCTTTAACAAAGTGTACAAAATAAAAAAAAAAACAACATGGAACAAAAATAGGAAAGAGTGTTGTATTGTTTTGTCAAGTGGGATGAATAAAAAGCACTACTTCATAAATCAGCCTCGACACACAGTTTTAAA